CAAGCGTCAGGGGGGAGAGGAGGAGAAGAACGAGGTCAAGAAGAAGTGCAGAGGAGGGAGAGAGCAAGGGGGGGGGGGGAGAAGAAGGAGGGAAAGGGGAAGCAAGCAGGAGGAGAAAGAGCAGGAGCAGTAGCAGGAGCAGGAGCAGGAGCAGAGGCTCGGACAGGAGCAGGAGCAGGAGCAGGAGCAGGAGTAGGAGCAGGAGCAGAGGGTCTGGCAGCCATACCGTTTTCTTCTTGCGGGAAGATGCGAGCTCAATCAGCCTCTTCAACTTTACAGTTGCCTCCTCCTGCAAGGTCTGATCAAAGCGCAGCAGCAGCAGCAGCAGCAGCAGCAGCAGCAGCAGGAGTCAAGAGGGGAGGAGGAGGAGGAGGAGGAGGAGTCAGGAAGAGAGGAGGAGGAGGAGGAGGAGGAGGAGGAGCAGCAGCAGCAGCAGCAGTAGATATTTCGTACAATCTGCTGAACTCTTCTCTGCTGCGCGGTGACCATCATGTGCTCGGAGGGGGCGCGACTGACTCCTCCCTCACCCAGCATGGCGACAACAGACAGGAGCAACTCGTCGCCCTCCTCCTCCTCCTCTGCCGTGAGAGGGTTGGCCTGGAGGTACTCGAGCATGGTTCGCTCTGCCTGGAGGAGGGAGGCAGAGGCGAAGAGCTCGTATGCGATGTTCCTCTTCTCCATCTCCTCCCGATGCTTCACCATCCCCTTCATCTGCTTCACCACAGGCACCAGGTGGTTCAGCGAGTTGTCCAGCTCCTTCACCCTCTCCATGAGCACGTGGAACCCCCTCAAGTCCTCCAGAGAGGACCCGTCCTGCTTGCTCTTGTTGAAGGCGCGTTTGGCGCGGTACTTTCTCAGCTCGACCTGAGCTTGCTTCAGCTTCGGCTTGCAAATCTCTTCCTCCGTCTTGAAGCTGTTGAACAGCTCCAGGAAGCATCGAGACACGCTCTCAAACTCCTCCTCGTGCCTCATCGTCTCCTCCTGCTTCCTAAGAGCCTCCAACAACGTCTCGTACTCCTTCCTCCCCTTCGCCTCCTCCTCCTGCAAGGCGTCCCGTGCTCTCCTCGTCCTCATCCCTGACGCTGGGCAGGGAGACACCTCCTCCTCCTCGCTCAACTCCTCTGAGCCCTCCGGCTCGTTCGCCGGCCGTACTGCCATGTCCGGCTCCCTGCTCCGGGGGGGAGGGAGAGGACGAGGGTCTGGTGCGGAGGCAGGGAAGGGCTTGAGAGAATCGGGGAGAGGGGAAGGAGGAGGAGAGGAGAAACCGAGTTTGTTGCGGAGCAGATCATCGCGGACTTGCTTCCTCTTCCTCAGCATCTCCTTCATCCGGCCCAGGGCTGTGCTAGACAACTTGCTCACGAACGAGGCCACGGGAATGCGAAGGTAGTGCAGGCAGCTGGAGGAAGCAACGGCCGTTTCAGTCGCCTCCTCAGAGCCTCCGTCATGCACGAGGGCGAAGCCTCCCACGACCTCGTGCGAGCTCATCACGCAGGAGGGCGTCTGGCCCTCCCCCTTCCTCCCCCCTGCTCCTCCTCGAGCTCAGCGTCAGCTCTCCGGCCACAATGACGAAGAGGAAGGGGGAGCTGTCTCCCTGCTGATACAGCGCCTCTCCCTTACTGAGATGCCGCAGCTCGGACGAGGCAGCGAGCAAGGAGAAGGTCGCGCTGCTCTCCCCCGCCAGCGGCCCCTCCTCCTTCAAGAAGCTCACGATCGCTGCCTGCAGCTTGTCCTCCTCCTCGTCCAACTGAGCCCGAGCAAGGCGATCGAGAGGAAGCTCGACGATGGTGGCGCTGGGGCTGACGACGATGCAGAAGAGGCTGAAAGCATCGACGTCGAGCATGCGCGAAGTCTCCTCCTCGCTGCGCAGCATGCTCTCGAGTAACAGCTCGAACTGCTGGAGGGAAAAGGAGCCCTTGTTCTCGATCTTCGCCCTCTTCGCCGCCTTTCTCACCTCCTCCCTCGTCATGCTCATCCCCAGCCTGCTGAACGCCTGCGCCACCTCCTCCTCATCCAGACTCTCAGAATTGTCAACGTCGATGGACCTGAAGAGTCTCGACATGCTTCCCTGGTGCCTAGTGGCTATCGCCGCCTTCATCGCCTCTGCCGCCCGCCGATGCCTCATGCCCTGCACCTGATTCTTGAGCCGCTGAGCTCCCAGCAGGGATCCCTCCTGGACCAGGTGGGGCTGCAGCTGGTCGACAGCTGAGGTCCAGGTGAGGTGGGAAGAGAGGGAGAGGCCCTCCTGCCGAATGAGCTTGCTCACGACGTGGGAGAGAGGGTTCATCGTCGTCTCGCGCTTCTGCCTCGCGAGCTGCAGCACGTGCTCGTCCTCGATGCTCTCCTCCTTCACGGCCGCAGGGACGATGAACTCCACCACCTCGCCCTCCAGCAGGAACCCAACTCCCGTCAGCTGCATCCTGGTCTTCTGCTTGACTGTTTGACAGGACGAGAGCCTGAGGACGTCAGCGAGGCGATGGAAGGAGAGGTGACGGAGGGACGGGAAGTCGAGGAGGAGGGCGAGCTTAAGACAGTCGTAGCGGAAGCGCGAGGAGGGAGACTTTGCAAGGAGCCGCTTGACCTCGGCGACACGGTCCTGCGGGCTGTGAGCAAGGTCGTTGAGGACGGAAGACCTCTCCATCTCTAGAGCGCGCCTCTTCTCAGCGATGGCGGCTAGGCCCTCTCCTCCTCCTCCTCCTCCTCCTCCTCCTCTCAGCCCTGCACTGTAGGCCTGCAATCCTTTCTCCTCGACGACGCTTGCCTTGCGGTAGACGGTCGCTGACAGCTCCTGCTGCTCTCCTCTCTTCCTCCTCAGCTTGTACAGCACGGGGACATTGCGGGAGTCAAAGATGACAGAGAGCGAGCTCTTCCCCGACAGCGTCTCCACCTGCTTCCCGGCCTCCTGCGGCAGCATGGACCTCGGCATCTTGTTGGTGAGCAGCACCGGCAGGTAACGATCCTCTTTCTGCTTCAGCTCCTGCGGGGGACCCTGCGGGTCTGACTTGACTTTCCTGAGGAGAAGGTAAATAAGGGCGAGCGAGGGCGAGAAGTGAACTAGCAGCGGACATAAGGGACGAGGTGGAGGAGAGAAGAGGAGGGAGCGGACGAGGAGAATGCGGCAAGAAGGGAGGGAGGGAGAGAGAGAGGGAGGGAGGGAGGGAGAGAGGGAGGGAGGGAGGGAGGGAGGGAGGGAGGGAGGGAGAGGAAGCAGAAGAGATCGTAGAGGCTGCTGATCTGATTGACGAAGAGATAGGAGGAGTATCAACACACGAGCTGACCTTGCCTTGCCCCTCCCCTCTCTGTTCCTCCCGCTCTCTTCCCTCACCATCGTCAGCATGTAACACCAAGAGATCAATCAACTCACCCTCCTCCTGCACCAGCTCCTTCCACTCCTCCGGCGTCCTGCTACGGACGGCAAGCACACTCTGTGACCTGCGATCGCCTCTCTCCTCGCTCATCACAGGGCTGACAGACGACAGGGCTTCCCGAGCAGGTCGCTCCTTCTTCCTCCTCCTCATCCCTCTTGCCCGCGGCGTCAGCCCACGGGGCCGATCGATCTCTCTGTCATCATTGCACAGCAGCGCTTGCTTCCTCTTCTCCTCCTCCCCTCGAAGACTCTTCCTCTTCCACCCGTACCCCAACGTGAGGGTCACCACCCGGGCTGCTGGCCCAGGCTGCTGGAACGAGCTCCTGCTGCCCCTCAAGGGGAAGTCCGCAAGTCGCATGTCCATGTTGGGTGCGCTCCTCCTTCAACCAGCCGCCATCGTGTTTGCGAGGAAGGACGCCATACGAAGCTAGAGGATCCTGAAGGAGAGAGGAGGAGAGAGACAGAAGGAGAGGGAAGGGGAGGGAGAGAGGGAGGGAGAGAGAGAGAGAAAGAAAACGTCAATACGAATCAAAACGAAAAGATGACGTCCAATCCCTCAGGGTTGTGTTGACTTAGACGAGATCCTCTATCATTTGAACCACTCGCCCCTCCATCATCCTTGCCGTCTTGCTACTTCATGTGCTTGATCTGGTCTTCTACAATCAGCAACTTCTGCTCCTTGATATTCGTATTTCTCTCTTCCTCTCCTTCTCTTTCCTGCTAGAGCACTGATTCCCATCCTACATCCAATCATTCCTCTAGCAAGTGTTCCCTTTTCCTCCTCTATCTCCTCCTATGCCCCCTCCTCCTCCTGTTCTCCCTCCTCTCCCTCCTCTCCCTCCTCTCCCTCCTCTCCCTCCTCCCTCCTCTCCCTCCCTCCTCTTCCTCCTCCCTCCTCTTCCTCCTCCTCCTCCTCCTCC